GATATTTCTTCAAGGGCTATCTAGGGGCACTCTTATTATCTCTTCAAGGCCTATTCGAGGTAATGCCAAGGGGGAAACACCGTACTTTGTACTTTAAAGTACTTTAAGGTACTTTGAAGTACTTTAATGTACTTCAAAGTACTTTATTGTGCTTTGATATACTTCAAGCTACTTTAAGATACTTCAATGTGCTTATATACATCAAGGCCTATCCACGAGTAGTCTTCATAACTCTTCAAGGCCTATCTACGGGTAGTCTTCATAACTCTTCAACGGCTATCTAAGGGTAGGGGGAGTTACCATTACCAAGTAACTAGTAACAGAAAGTTTGCGGTTCTTCCATTTTCATTTACGCGTCATTTTTTTGTTCCTTCTCGAATACCTATCCTATAGAACTGCCCCTAGGGCCTCACATCCTATGTTTCCGGAGGTACTTGTAGGTCTTCAAGTTCTACCTTATAGGGGAACCTTAGGTCATTATACCCTATTGTATAGGGGTACCCTTACGTCCTCAAGTGCTATAGTACAGGTGTCCCTTAGATCCTCAACAGCTATACTATAACGGTACCTTAGGTCCCCAAGGCCTATACTATAAGGGAATCCATAGGTCCTCACAAGCTATACTATAGGGATATTCCTAGGTTCTCACAGCCTATAGTATAGAAATACCCTTAGGTCCTCAAGTGCTATACTATAAGGATACCCTTAGGTCCTCAAAGCCTATACTATAAGGGAATCCTTAGATCCTCAAATGCTATACTATAAGGGAACCCTTAGCTCCTCAAGGCCCATACTACAGAGGTACCTTTAGGTCCTCAAGACCTATACTATAAAGGAATCCTTAGTCCTCACGTGATACACTACATGGATACCCTTATACCCTCAAGTGCTATATTATAAAGGTACCCTTAGGTCGTCAGCAGCTGTACTATATGGATACCCTGAGGTCCACAAGGCATTTACTGTAACCTATAGTATAGCACTTGAGGATCTGAGGCTATCGTTATAGTATAGGTTCTGAAGATCTAAGGGTAACTCTGTAGTATAGGGTTTGAGGACCTAAGGGTTAGGGGTGCAACGATGACGATAACCGTAGGTACGGTTACCGGTCTAATCAAGGGGGAAAGGGCATACTTCTGTACTTCTTGTACTTCTTCGTACTTCTCCGTACTTCTCGGTACTTCTTGGTACTTCTTGATACTTCTTGGTACTGTTTGATACTTCTTGGAACTTCTCGGTACTCCTTGAGACTTCTCGGTACTTCTGTACTTCTGCGTACTTCAGAGGTACAGAAGTATGCCTTTTCCCCCTTGGGTCTAACTAAGATAACAGTAAGTACGGCTATCAGTCCGAGCCCGTTTTCACGAAGGAAAGAGTTTTTTAAGAAAATAATGACTCTTTATAAAGGTTCACGAAAGTAAATCGGGGTCGAAGAATCCGAATCTGAAGTTAGTTTTTCGATCTGTGCTTCCATTGGTCAGAAAATGGACCAATCGGAAACGAGCTTTTTTCCCTCCACTGGAGGGAGGATCATATGAAATAAAATGAGTTTGTGACCTCGCAGTCATTGGGATAGTAACGCATTCAGATGCGTTTGCGTGATTATAGGCCGGATAATCTCCATAATATCAAATATATATGAAGTTTCTTCAGGCAGGCAGTTCAGCCAATTAAATATTTTCGGCGTTCCCTATGAGTCCGTCAAGCTTTATTTATTTCATATCACCGTCCCTTCAGTCGAGGGAAAAAAGCTGGTTTCTGATTGGTCTATTTTCTGACTAATGAAAGCTCAGACAGCATAACTGACTTCAGATTTGGATCCCTGGATATCGATAACATATTGCAAAGTTTTATCAAAAGGTCGAAAAGCCTCAAAATAAAAAATCTCGTTTGTGATTGGTCCGTTTTCTGACCAATGAAAACTCAGATCGAAAAACTAAGTTCAGATTCGGATTCTTCGACCCCGATTTACTTTCGTCAACCTTTATAAAAAGTCGTTATTTTCTTAAAAAACTCTTTCCTTCGTGAAAACGTGCTTGCATTGATAACCGTACTTACTGTTATCTTAGTTAGACCGGTACCCGTACCTACTGCTATTGTAGATGGGCCGATAACCGTACCTACGGTTATCGTAGTTAGAGCGGTAACCGTACCTACGGTTAGCGGTTTGGACCGGTGAAAGGATGACGGTATACCGGTGAATGATCGTCGCCGTTGCATCCCTACTAAGGGTTCCCTTATAGTATGGCTGTTGAGGACTAAGGGTATCCCTATAGTATAGCATGTGAGGGCCTAAGGGTTCCCTAATAGCATAGGGCTTGAGGATCTAAGAGTACCTCTATAGTGTAGGCCTTGAGGACCTATGGATTCCCTTCTGGTATAGGCCTTGAAGAGTCATGAGGATTACCCTTGAATAGTCTTCAAAGAGATATGAAGGCTGCCCCTAGATAGCACATGAAAAGTTATAGAAAATACCCCTAGGTACCTTGTAAAAAAAATAGTATAATTTAATTTGTATCTAATAAATTATAAAAAGCAAACGAGTGAAATTTAATATTAATTACTCATAATTGAAATTTATATTAAATCAGCAGGAAAATGACATCCCAACTTTAAGATACTTTAATGTACTTTTAAGGTACTTTAAACTACTTTAATGTACTTCAAAGTACTTTAAGGTACTTTGAAGTACTTTGAAGTACTTTAAAGTACTTTGAAGTACTTTAAAGTACTTTAAGGTACTTTAAAGTACTTTGAAGTACTTTAAAGTACT